CCCCAAATGGGACCACAGGAAAGAGCAGATCCAGGCATGGACACCGGGACCCCCCAACCCCAGGCCAAGGTCCGACAGGGCCACACTGCCAACCGCCAAGTGCACACCCCCAACCGACCACCCGCCGGTTTGATGTTTTCCTGAATCCGGGACTGACTGGCTGAAGTTGCTCATTCCAGTTTCAGTTGCCCTCAGGGTGATTTTGTCTCATCCTGCTCCCCCCGTCTGTCCTCTGTTCTTTCTGTCGTCACGTTGCATACAAGAACGTTCTGTTTTCACAGCTGCCAACTATACACTCATTTACTGCTCAGACTGATTACATTAGTCCTGATGAGTGGAAGGAGCCCAATCATGAAGGCATGTATGTCATGCAAATCAGCTGATAATGTGTAGTGGATCACTAGACAAGGAGCGGTGGAATGGCTTTAACTCCATAAACATTTGTTATTGTATACATCAAATTGTCAGAAGGAAAGAAGCCTAATGTGCTCTTTGTCAACCGTTTATTCAAAAACAAGTCAAAAGAAAGACATTTGAGTAATTTCTCACATAGAACTACACATGATTTTGTGGTCCCTGAGTGATAAATGATCAAAATGTCTCCTGAGACACCGTTTCCACAATATAAACATCTTTGCCAGTTTTCTTCCTTAGCTTGTGGTTTAGTCTGTGATGGAGAATTTCAAACGACAAACTGTTAAACAAACYTGACAGATGATGGGACTTTTGCACATTATTTCAGTCTTACATCCAGTGTTTCAACTTGTTGACTTCCTGATACGATTTGATTCCTGTTCCTCACACTACAGATGGTCTCCTCAGGAGCACATCTGCAAAGCCCTGATTACACACAAACACACCGTCTCACCAGGTGAGAACACTAATAACCACTTTGTGATGACTGATGGTAGTGTCAGTGTGAACGCAGAGACGAGCTGGTTCACCTCTACACTTTGCTTCCATTGTTTTCTTTGTGTTTATGCAATAAAATTGCAACAACAACGCAGATGACACTGTGTCCTGATGGTAATGTGAAGATTACTAAAAATGGAAAAAACATTTCTGTAAGCAAATTCAAAGCATTTATACCTTTAAAAAACGTTTTAAGCATGCCTCATACTGTTTAGAAAGAGCTTTGATTGCAAGGGCACCAACAAAAAGGGGGACGCCAGTCACCTCCCCAAAAATTTGGTATCCCCCAAACAGTTTTATCCCCATGACTCAAGGTTTTTGCCTGGCGTATATTTTAAATTTCTCATAGTTATTTATCATTAAACGAACCTCATAAACATGAAAACAAATGTGTTGGAGTAAATAACCTAAATGCAGTGGTTGGCACAGCTAACATACAGTTAGCCTTGCTAACCACCAATCCGTAACTAAAACATTAGCTTTGCAAACRCTAAACCACTGAACAGGTAAGAAAATTAGCGGAAGCTAATGCTAACTGATAAACACTAACATAAGATCATTCTGTTAAACATAAACATGTGTGATATCCACAGAAATGCATGAATCTTCTCTAGAAGCTCATAAAAAACTTTTCTGTCCACCAAACACAGTTACAACCACAACAGATGATTCATTAATAAATAAAATTGCACAAAGTGACAAAAACAATAAACTTCTTGTCAACTCTTCACACTGTGGCTTATCACAAAAAACAGCCTACAGTATCTGCTGATAGTTCCCAAAGTTAGCTGAAATGCTAAACTGCTAAATAAGAAGTTAGTGTCACTGTTAACTATTAGCAGATCAGCAGGACCACCACTGCCTATAGGCTCATATRACAACATGACAAATCTCCTGTAATTCTATCCTGAGTTTTGGTACCACCCCAGGATTTTTGGTGYCCCCTCCCCCCAAATAAAACATTCGTGGAGACGCCACTGATTAACTGTCTTAAATGATTCACTTTTAAACGGTCTTATCATTTTGATGACAACCTTGACCTGAAGTGTAGATAATCTGAGAGTGAAGTCAGGTGGTTTTGTTGGTGCTGACAGCTGCTGATGGGTGACTTTGTGGTTCTGTCTGGTCCCTCGGTGTGGCTGAGAAACAAAATGACAGGGTGCTGGACTCTGCTGAGCTGTCACTGTCGAGCGTCTGGCTTTTCTGTTCGGCCACAGGTTACAGCACGATGAAGCTGTGGTAACAGGCGTGCGAGAGAGATTTCACCCGAAACACAAACGACAGACGAGAAAGAGAAAATAACTGTACAGAAGCAGGTTAATGAAAATTTTAAATATTTAAATTCCTTTGAGTCATTCTCCATCCAGGGTTTTTTTTTCACTAATCTGGTTCAAACCAGTTTCTTCTCAACTGTTTCCCTCCTGGCTCCTTTAATGTTATACTCAAAGGACCTTTGTCAAACTTTTGGAGTTCACACATGTTTGCACGTCCACTCTGAAGTCTTTCAGTGTGGTTGGGGTTTGAATGAAAAGTGCCAGAGAAGGGCCCCTTTCCCATTTTCCCTCCTTTTGTCCCGTCGTTCTTTTATTCGACATTCTTCACACTTTGTGGCTGAACGTTATATAAGAGAGCTGACCGGTCATTTCACAGAACTGCTGTTTGGCAGACCAGCACAATTACCCCTCCCTGAATTAAAGACATTTGAACGTTGTTTCATCGCCRAACACTCTAAAAAATTACTCCACAGCAGATCAAATAAATAATACATTATTTACTTTGAAACCAGGAAAATCCCACTGAGATCACAGAGATGTTTTTCAATGGAGGCCTGAAGACTAAACATGCATGTTTTTGGTCTGTGAGAGGAAACCAGAGCGTGAAACTCACACAAACACGAGGAGACCATGCAAACGCCACATAGAAAGACTTCAGAGCTCAAACCCAGAACCTTCTTGTTGTGAGGCATCAGTTCTAAACACTGATCCAYTACACTCACTAATACTTTAGGTTGTCCTTTATGTCATTAGATTAATTAAACTCAACACATACAGGTTAGCAAACTAAAATTCATTATCTTTCTGTGGAGAAAACATATTGATTCAAACAAATGGCAGTTATACCCTTTGTGTTGACAGTTAAAGAATAATTTATTTAATAAGCATGAACATTTTGTAAAAAGTTGCACACATTTTGAATCATTGATGTTTTGATTTTATGCTCTGACAGCACAATGTTTAAGCATTTTTTTACGAAGAAAGTAGAACTATTGAACTGACGGCCTGTGGGCCACATCTGGCACATCTGGGTGACTTCAGTCTGACTCCCCAATGAGTTCATTAAAATAATTTTTTTTCTATAACTCAATGAAATTTTAAAATTTTGCATTGATTAAAACTTTTAGATTTATGATTCAACGCAGCTAAAAAAACACATTCAAAAGGTAAAAGATAATCTTTTCTTTACATGATGCAGTCTATCCCCCTATAACATTATTGGGCAATG